CAGCTTCCATGTGAGGTGGTGCAGGCTCCCACCCTGGGGGTTTTTAAGAGGAGGTTGGATGACCACCTTACTGGGGTCGTTTGACCCCAGTACTCTTTCCTGCCATGGCAGGGGGTCGGACTAGATTATCTGCTCAGGTCCCTTCCGACCCTAGAAACTATGAAACTATCTGTTTTTAAAAATACCTGGTTATTGTTATTTCATGGTGACAGTCTTCCAACACTGGCCAACTAAAAATAGAGTGTGCTTGCAGAAATCATATTGCTCATTACAGTATTAAATAATACTACATTCAAATATACAGAGAACAGGGAAATGAACTTTATTTCATTGGATTTTTACAACTGCAAATTTATTTTAAACATATTCCATAATCAGTTTCCACAGGCCTATTTTTGACAAGTTCACTGTGTAATATCCTTTCCAGGGACAAAATGCTGCCTTATCTCAAGGCTGCCTGTAAGTCTCATCCAAAGATTAAGGAGGGTAACACCACTACTTACATCTCCTGTGGCTCACAGCCAACTCGCAAGGACTGCACTAAGACTTTACTTCCCTCGTGCTCTCAATGCACTCTCCCCATACTACTTTGAAGTAGCACTGACTGCATCCTAACTTCTTTTTCTGATCTGAGACTTGCCTGAGGTCAAATTCTGCAGTTGCTCTGCTTCATTCACAATGGGGGATGGGAAAGGTCAGGGGTTAAAGGTCATTATATCCTATTCTTAATAGAAAGTCATACTAATTGCCATACAGCTTCTACCTAGCAGGCAATGGAAGCCAGGCCCTGTTCTACTCTCCCTCTTTGAGACGAAGGAAGGAGCTTTGTGAAAAGCCCTCTGACAAGCTCATAGAGCGTCCATGAGTAGCTAGTTACCCAAACTCACCTTAACAGCAAGTTGCCATCCTGAACTTCCCAAATGCGTGCAGAGGTAGTGTTCCCCTCTGGGTAACCAAAAAATAAGCCAAAAAATAATAGAGGGGCAGATGTGACAGCCAGTGTTATTCAAGAAATCCACATGGAATTCCTGCTTCCTCATACTTTTTGGCTTGGCAGCAGACTTGGAGTCTGCATTTATTTTGTTTTGCATTTTATAAACTGCACCATTTGGAGCGTATCTGACTGAAAAGAACTCAGACCCCCATTAACTGCAGAAAATAAAGACTCAAGTCAGACCATCAGACTAAATTTCCTGGATTTCCCTAACCATGCAGCCAGCGTTATTTTCAAGTGTTTGAAAGAATGAAAGTTCCCTGTGCACCCCTGAGCTGTGTGTGTTGCCCCGTCATCAGCATGTGTGTGCTGTTAAGACCCTTACAAGGGATTCAGACTCCATGCAGGGGAGGAAAAAAGGTTAAAACATGCAGAGTGCAGTAATGTTTTCAGACATCATCCGTAAGACAAACCTAGCACAGGAACACTCAAAAAGTCCTTTTCAGCAGCACAAAATTAGTACTTTTGGTGATCCAAGACAAAACCAAGGCAAACATCCACAGTTAACAAATTCAACTATTGAGAAACAAATTTCAAAGACACTGACAAGGAAGCCATGTCCTCTTCTTGCCCTAAGTTATAAAGACAGAAAACAACCTGCCCCTGTGAGCACTGCTGGGTGCCTTCACATGGGTGAAGGTCATCTCTGTCTTAATGCACATGAGGCACAAGTTGTATCCCTTCAGCCATAATCATTCTCTCTTCTGCAGTTATGAGGTATTTATAAAGGAAAGGAAGAACTGTGCATTATATGCAGACAGTCCAAGCCATCTTCCTGGACTAACAGATCAGAAACAGCAGTAGTTAATCTTGTGAAAAGATGCATCAAAGGAAGTAAGCACACCTACCAGCCTCTGCTGCTCCAACAAGAGGTCTGCTTCTTCTTTCTCCTTCTTGTACAAAATCTCCATTTCTTGTAATCTGAAGAGAAAGAGCAGAAGGGACTCAGAAGCAGCCATGCAGGGCACCATTTGTGCTAGTGTCACCTTATCCACAGAAACAGTTAAGCACAAGAGCAAATGCAAGTTTCTTCAAGTCTAGTGTCTATCTGCATCTCAATCTGCTGATATGAAAGCCACTATCCTTCCTGCTCCCTTCAGCTGAAACACTTTGGTTCCCTTGGAATGAGAACTACCATTGATATCTGCACTGAGTTACGTGATGTGTTCTGCTGAAGACCTGATTAGCATAACTGTTTGAGGCTTACCAGCACAGGGGTTATTCTCTTCAAAAGGTAAGTCAAGAAGTTGTGGGGTCACAAAGCACTATATTCTTTACTACGACTCCTGGCCCTCTTCTCTCTCATAAGCAGAGTGCCTGGTGGAGACAACGCTCAGGGAACACCCAGCCTGCCTGTTTTTCCACCATTCCTCCTTTGTCAGCTTAAGAAGCTGCATCAAGAAACCAGGCAGTTGCTCTCTGTTTTGGTCCAGAACTTAAGTGTCAGGGGGCATAATATTTTAAAGAAACTAGAATTCAAAATAATGATGAAGGCAAAAATATGATGAAGTGCCAACACGCATCCCCTTAGCCAGAGCCAGATTTAAATCAAGAGGAGCACAGATTGGCACAATTAAGCTCTGGTTGGGTATTTTTTTAAGCCAAGTTAAATATGTGATGCTTCACTTACAGGGAGCTCCCAATTAAGCACACTTCCCTGTGGAAAAAGTAGGCATCCACTTCACACACAGAACTGGTACCTCTCCAAACAGACCAACTGAAAAAGGCACATGTATTTTTTTGTTCCAAGTCAAATGTATGAGCTAGTTTATTACCTTTTCTCCATTTCCTGCTTCATATCAATGCCCTGTTTCTCCAGCAGTTCTCTCTGTGCAAAAGTCCAGTCTACTGGCTCAGAGGGAGTCTCAGCTGATGGAGTTTTCTCTCTCTCTGCTCGAGCTTGCTCAGGGTGGTTAAATCGGAAAACGTGATTTTTGCCCATGATGATACGATTCCCTAAAACAGGAACAAAAGATTAAGTCTTTCAAATAAGGACTCCAGAACCAATGTGACATTTTATGTTCAGGCAAATTTACCCTGAGGAAATCAAATGATTTTCCCCTAAAGTACTGTGCTCAGAAAGTTTGGTAATAGGTGTCCGCACAAAAGAAATAAACAGTTAGTGCAAGAGAGACGAAACTGTGCAGAAACAAGAAATGACCAAAAAAAGCACCTGCCTGTTAAACCTCAGGAGAAAACTTCCACAAAATAAAAATGGTCTTGTGGATGGACTAGGAGTAGCAACAGATACGCTAATCAACTATACTCTAATCCTCTTCTGTAGCAAATTTTGCAACAATAGCATTTTTAAGACAGGCTCAAAAATCGTGGACAAAAACCACCCCATAATTTTTTCTATTTAGAAAAGTTTAACCTCAAACACTTGATGACTGGATGCTTTACATTTTTAAGTGCTGAGATTTGTATGAATGATCTAAGTTTCCACTTAAGTCCTCAGCAATGGAATTTCTGGGGAGGCATTTTCCTGCATCCTTCACCCTTGTGTGAGATGGAGAGTCCCAAGCATGTGGAAAAGCAGAAGAGTAGTAACTAAGTGCTACAGAAAACTTATATGCAAAAACATTAAACAAGCACTAAAAATACAGCAGCATCTTTCTGCTCTTCCAGTACAACACACAAACGTGAGAAATAATCACTACAGTTCTAGTGAAATGAACCTTTAGGCCACCAAGACAGTCTTTGTCAGTCTATTAATGACAAACAACTGTCTTTTAAAAATATCAAGAGTTACTAATCCCATTTCATTAAATGGAAACATCAAGAGATGAGGATGAAAAAGAGAAGTATTAAACAAAACCCCAAGTTTTAGAAAAATCAGCTTGCCAAAATAATAAGTGCAGTAATTTCCAGCCTATGGGCCATATTCAGGTTTCAGAAGTTTTAAAGTAGTAGAAATGGCTCAAAGAGTAAAATTAAAGAACCTGTTCATGCCCATTACCCTGTCTTCTGCTGAAGCTAATGCATCCAATGACAAACACCAGTCTACAACCTAGTGCAAAGGACACTGGAATGCATTTGAGCACCAGGAGAATGAAGGGTCTCAACTTAAAAAAGATGTTTTGCCTACAATCGTCAGGCTACACGATTCATTTATGAAAGCTGCTCTCCCCCACTGCCCTTGGCCCAAGGTATGAGGAGGGATGTATGGCGTTCTAAACAGATTTCTGAACACATGGAAGGAAAGGAGAGAGAGGCTAATGAATTCCTGCCTGGAGTTGCATCTCAACTGTGCCAGGGAAACTGGGGATTTTCAATCAGCAGCTGGCAGTGTGTTTACTCTGTTTCATTGCAAGCACCAAGGGCAACAGTCTTGGGCAAGAATGTACTAGAATAATACCAGAGTAAGCAAAAGTAAAGAATCAAGCAGAGAGCGCCCTGTGTTAGTGACCATTTATGCAGGCTTTCAGCTGGTGCAGTGAAGGGCCTGGGAAAATAAAAGACGACAGTGTTTTCACCAGTGTGGAAAAGGCCTTGCCAAAAAAGCCAAGATTCCTTATCTGGAATAGTACCCTGTTGTTTCCTTCAGCCAGAAGACATTTGTTCTGTATGGATCATCCTGGAAGAACCACCTGCAAAAAAAGCCAATTTTGAAATCTCTTACCTGAGCGCAACTGCACCGGCTGCACAACCCTCTTGCCATTGACGTACGTTTCCGACCGTTCACAAGGCTCCAGAGTAACAATAACTAGAAGGAACACAGGTGTTATTCACATCAAAACACACCATTTCCTACCAGAGAACACCTGGAGGGCCAGGGAAAGGACAAGACCCAGATATTTTCCTTTACTGTATGCCAAGAAACCTGGCTATACCCTTCCAGCCAAAAACACATGAGACAAGTAGATAATGCTCTGCTCACCACACTCACTCCCTACAAACTGAGATTCTGAAGAAGTTGTTCCTTTATACCAAACCCTGGTTAAGCATGCATAGCAGGACATGGCCAAGTGACACCGTTATTCAGCCAAGGCATCTGAAATAATGCAGGTCTCAACTGCTAGGATTCTTTGTTTCACTTTTCCATAGGGAAAAAAAAATGAACTGTGATCAAAATGGTCAGAATGAACACAGGTCAAAGCTTTTATCAGTCTTGACAGAGGCCTCTTGCAACAAGGTTTGAAGGATAATCAACACATTATTTTGTAATTGATTTCAGCACTACCCTCACTGCAGGGCTATGTGGTAAGGTATCCAGTGCCAGATGCTTAGGAGCTACTAAACACTCCTTTCCACTGCACTATCTGGTGGCTCCAGGCGCTTGTCTAGTAGCACAGACAAACTTTGATGTTAGAAATGACTGAAAGGCAACACTGCCTAAGACACCGGGGATGTAGCAAGTAAAAATTAAGTGTCTTATAAAGTACACTGCATTTCATCCTGAACATCCCCAAAAAATAAGCAAGCACTATCCCCACATAACAGATAATAGTCTTTGTCCAACCGAGCACTTAAACTAAACTGTTCTTTATCCACAGTGTTATCAGACCACACAGTCTCGGGTTCAACCCCTTTTTCCATGAAATAACCGGGACACCCAGAAATGAACGGACTGAGCCACATTTGTTTCATCCACAGCCCAGAATCTATAAACAGTGCAAAAGTCATCTCTGCTGTACCACACGTTCTCTATTTGGACACAGCATGAAGATCAGCAGGGATCTGGGTTTTCTGCTCACCAAGGAAAAATGTGGATTTTCTCCTCGAAAGAGAAAAATGCAAATTTTCTCCTTTAAAGGAGAAAAACATGGGAAACTGCAGGTTTCCCCTTGCAGGCTGGCAAAGTTCCAGTCTGCAAGGGGCTGCAGGAGTGGGACACAGGGGGCACTCCATGTATTTTCACATGCACAAATGCACATGGCCAGCAATACAACCAAGTAGTGGTGGAAAGCAGCTCCCCTAGCTACTTGCAAGTATATGGGGGTGACGGGGTGTCACAGGCAACATGGGAGGAGGGGCAGGCGGGCAGACTGAGGCCCCCATGGTGAGAAAGGGAGTAGGGCAGAGTTGGCAGCTGGGGCTGGAAGCACTGCCCAGCCAGGGCAGGAATGCGTGGCCTGGCTGGCAGAATGGGATGGAGCCACAGGTGGCTCATCTGGGGGGTAATGTGGTAGGGGGGCTGGCTCCTCACCACTGTGCGCACTCTCAGGGTTGGGTCTGGCACCAGAGACG